AACTCATACAAGGAGATAAAACAGACGTTTTACATGGTGAAATGTGACTGATGGAAACTTAGGAGCTTMATCCCACACCAGTTTGACCAGGAATAACGTCAGGTGACCAGTCTGACTTTGTTTTTCACATTGGACTCCACCAAGAAATCCCATCATACTGCTGCTTAAATGTTCACTACGTCAGAACTTATTCAGCAAATGTTTCATCTCTGCTGTTACACATTAACTCTTACAGGATGGAGGAAACTGGTCTTGGTGGAGGTTTGCCCTCTCCCAGTGCTTCTAGTTTTACAATGTTTATAAAACTATAGTTTTTAGTCTAAACCCACCTTTAATATTATTTTTTCAGTTGTGTTGATGACACACATCACCAACCTGAACAAGCATTTTTTTTGAGTTTGTGAAGTTTAAGCAGTTTATAAAAACAGATGTTCCATTTATTCCAACATCTGGACCCTCATGCATAAAGGATTGTGCAGCTTTCACACTAAAAGCTGACGTACGGACAAATTCAGAAATGTGCGCTGCACCAAAATATTCAGATGTATAAAACTGTGTGTACGCATGTTCCTGCTCACCTTTCCTTTATACATCCTAATGAAGGTGGAGCTGAGACTCCTCCCCCTGACACGCCTCCGTTTAAATCTGTAAAATAGATGTAAATGTGTCCAGAGTGGGAGGTTCTCCTCAGATTGTCCTCTCTGTGGGATCAGACATGAGTTTACATGCAGGAAAAATGTAAATTAAATGGAGAATGAGTGAGAAAACTGTCTAAATAAGGAGTAGTGTCATTGTTTTATGTGGTGCATTCACACAGGATAACCAAAGCCTGAGATTCTCCTGAAATTTACAGACACCTCCTGAATGTGATGTTGAAGCTGGTTAGTTGTTTATTTAGTTGAACACGGTGTTGAACGGACGTTAAAAAACAAAATAAACAAAAAAACCATCCCGTTATCCACTTTTTCCTCTCTCCTTTCCTCCTGTGTTACAGCAGGTGCTGTCATCTCCACGTACAGACCCCCACCCCACCCCCACGAGAGGGTACGAGTGGTAGTCTACGGATTTTTAGCAAAAAAAATAGATATTTGAGGCTCATTAGATGGTAAACGTCCAAAGAGGTTGACACATATGAACACCTTCCCCTCTGGTGAGGGTGCACACCTGGCATGAGAATCTACCCAAAGCACAGCTGCTGCACTCCGGCCACAACTCAGCATCAGTCAGAAGGTTACACACAGAAAATATAATTATTCTTACCGTACAGTGAGACACAATTTGTATCTGATTTTGCTCCCTCTCTTCAGCCTTTTTTATTTTATTTTTTTCTTTTTATGCTGCACATAATGTGTCGGGTTTTTCCGGCCTTAGACCCAAAAGGTTTTCAACTACGTGACAAAAATATAAAACCAGTTTACAGACTGGACTGAGGGTCTTTGATCAGTTTTAGACTGATCTATTTTCTTGTCTGAGGTTAAATGATTTTCAGTTTCATCATCGTTCAGTTTAAACAATAAAAACTAAAATAAAAATCTAACAGCGTGTTCAGACGCTCCTTACATCCAGAAAACACAACAGACTCATATTTCTGTGGATTCAG